CACTTCATTTTGATTGCAGTCAACAATTTGTTGCAATTTTAAATTATTTTTGTCTATTAGTCTCATTGTTGCTCAATTTTCCATCTACCTACAAATCGCTTAGCACGACTCGGCATGATGTCCAGAAGAACGCAACTTTTAAACTGAATTTTCAGTTTTACTCATCAAGTGCGACTTCGCGTCAGTTACAAACTCACTCAAATTCAAACGAATTTTGTCAATCGCTCTCATCACTTGCATACTTTCGATTACGATTACTCAACTTCTGAGGTGAGACTAATTTGGCGTACTTAAGTCTAATAAGTACTGAAAGTTCACATCACTCCATCCTTATTCTACTTATGGCTGAAGGGTGTTGAGTCCTTGGTGGGAGGGTGGAATCGGTGGCACGTGAATGTATTGGCCAGTGCAGTTTGGTCTAATAAGTGTAGAGAACCACAGACACAAATGTAGGACTGGAAGATGACTGAGGTATATTTTATCTCTAAATGGGAAGGACTTGATATTAAGTGGAACGAGCATTTACCAGCACTAATCTCCAGGTTCAACAGATGGTAGTAGATGATAGTAGAAACACCTTTCCTCACATCTCGCCTTAAATTTTGGTGACATCAGTTGGGGCATTTAGACTTCTTTACTCTTGACTGAGTGTTCTTCTTGAATTGGAATTTTGAGCAGTGTGCCATATGAATGCCTATCCCACTTGGATCAATTTCCTACATCCTCAACTATTCATTCATTGATGAGTTGAAAGGTCAACATGAACAATCTTTTCATTGAAACGCCCTTCTGCATTTTCTTTGGAGCTCACACCACGGAGCATGTCTTCATTCGCGTTGAGTCACCTTGCAGAATCTTGAATAATCGCAAACGCCACATTGGTGAAGCATTTCCATAATTTCAGGTCCATTTAATATTTCATTTATTGTCTTTGCCTCGAAATAATTTGTGTGTGAGATCAAGTGAGCAAAATCTGCAACGAAGTGAGAAGTAAAGTGGTAAAACCAGAGAAAATCATATGTACAGTCAAGGTTGTTAACGCGTTAATTATATTTGATTGTGCCATATTTGTGAAACTGAGAAACAAATTGTGGAGTTGAGATCTCTGCAAATCCCAAATTCTCACATTAATTTGAACTCCATGTTAGTCAACAGTTCCCAAATCAGCATAATCAACATGTAAGACATCGTGGTTGGAATGTTGGGACACGCGATGGACTTGACTCGACGAAATAAAACCTGAGCAACGTATACTCATGCGCCAAAAGTCTATAAATCAGCAGTTGCCTTCTAACTACTCTTTCACTTTCGCTCAAATTCACAGTGCTCATCTTACCCTCCTCTCTACCTCCCCCACCCTCTCCCCCCCTCACCCCACTCCACTCAACCTTTTGTGGCTTTGACGTTCCTCATCCATGTGAAGCCAAAGTCAACCCAATTGATGAAGATAACTATAACTGCACAAGCGAATACAGATTGAGTGTACACCTTACTCACCTTACCTTGTCCTCTTCTTTACTTTTGTGTCAGACTGCCTCTTTTACATCTGTGAATCACTCTTCTGTTCCACCCCCCCCATACACCCTCTCTCCCAACCCCCCCCCNTTGTGGCATTAATGTTCCTCATCCATGTGAAGCTCAACGTCAACCAAATTGATGATGATAACTGAAACTGCATATGTAAATACAGATGGAGTGTTCAGAAACAGTCTCTCATTTTATTAAGATAAGAGAAACAAATTCTATCACTAGTCAAACATTGAAGGCTCGAACTCATATTTCCACGAAAAAATTATTTGGGAAATTTCCTCCCTCCCCATATCCATTGCGAGCTGTTCTCCTGTTGTTCTATAGCCATTTATCAGTGCATCCGGGTCCGCTCCTTAACACAACGAGATGTCTTAGTGCAATAATTGTGCCATACCATACCAAAGTAGCAGTGATGCTGCAGAAGGGTTGTTATAAATGATTGATATCATAAGTGGAGTGAAGCCATGGCGGTTTGTATCGCTAACCGAGGCACTGTTAGATAGAAGAAGTGAAACCATATCTTCCTGATCTCCAATAATGGCATATTCCAAAGGAGATAATTCAGATTCATCCCAACGACCTAATGGTGCACCGTAATCAATCAAGAGCCTTGCTACTTCGAGTTGGTCTTTATCGACGGCCATACAGAGGGCAAAATTCATATGCATTCTCTTCTTAATGCTGTCGCCCTCTTCCACACTCAGCAGGAATTGAAGGATATCAGCATATCCTTAAAATCATAATCTTAAGTGATGAGCATACAAGGCAAGCAGCAAGAGAGAGGGGTGGAAGTTCAATTCCATCCTCTTCCTTATAAACCACTGCTCCATGAGCAACTAAATATCGAACCATGTGGATGTTATTTTTCTCCACAGCCAATCCAAGAGGAGTTATACCAACATTGTCATATTTTTCTAAATTGCAATTATGTGAAATAAGAATAGAGATGGAAGCGTCATCATTATTGTCCACTGTAACATGCAACGCAGTCCGTCCGAATTCATCAACCCCATTCACATCAGCTCCATTCATCAATAGTTCATTTGCGATGTCATAGAACTTTAGTCTCGCAGCTAAAATAAGTGGTGTAATTGTCGGATTATTATGGAAAACATTTGGATTGACCTAGAAGAATATCAATGTAGTTCGACTTACATTGTTTGCCAGTTGAATTCTCACAGAATCAATGTCATTTTGAGTGATAGCTTCATAAAGTGTTTGCTGTGGCTCGGCCATGGTGTGAGAAGCCAAAAGAATACCTGCCACTCAAATATGATCAAATTCATATTGATATTTTGAGAAAATACTTTAATCATTAATCAGCAGAGTGACGTCAACGATTGGTCAATTCAATTAATTTGATTTTAAGTAACCAATAGATGTTTGAGTGCTTGATGTAATATTGGCCAATTGCTTGTCCTAATGAGGCGTGAAATCGAACGAATGAATGTCTGACAAGTTTAAATAATTTGACTGAATACATCTCGAGTAGAATTTAATAAAGCTTCTAAGTAGAGCATGCATCAGAAAAATCGAATTTCATTTGACTATGGTGTGGTACTTGAACGAGTTCAGTGTTCAGGGAGTTGTGCATTGTTGTTGACAAAACTCCTTTCAACCCTGAATTTAAAACGACAACTGTCAAAGCCGTCTCAATTCTTCCTGCTATTTCAACCACAATTCAGAATATGATATTCACGATGTATTATCAATACGTCTTCCAACACCTCTCTCATATCTATTTAGTATATAATTTCCCTATCTCTTACGAAATTCGCAAAACCATATTGTCTATGAGCGTGGAGATACACCTACATTAGACTAATCCTATGTGACATAATATATTCTGAAAGCTATTGTGGGCCATTTTGTATTTTTATTCGGCATTTATCAAATGCAATTATGCAGAAAATATTTTTGAAAAGAAAAATTTTGAAGTGCGCCGACCCAATTATTATTAGGCGTAACATGAAATGTTAAGAGATTCGATTCACATAATTGAAAACACTTTTATGTCAAATCTTATAATGACTACATTATGCGGCGATGTTGAAGGGAAGAAATTTGTCAAGTACATTTCTCATGGAAGCAGTAAGCGTACGCACCAATGATTAATTTGATACAATTAACTTTATTTAATATTGTAATACATTTTATTTCTTTTTTCATTGGTCAGTAATGTAGCACTTTGTAATGATATCATTTTTTCCACCATGACAATAAGATTTAGCCTAATTTTAGATATCTGCATTCAGAACTAACCAAGTTTTTTAAAGAATGAGTAATATAGTTATTTATTTCAAATTGCATACGTTTTGACAGTTATCATTAGCCCTTTAGCTGACTTCGGGCTTCATAGAGATTAGGAGAAATATCACAGTGACAAAAGAACGAGGGGGGACAGAATAATTATTTATAGATATAACGGAGACAGACAGGTACATTGCGGAGAATAGGTAAGATAAGTACTGTGAAAGGGGTCGAATGTGCCATGTGGTCGGTCCAGATGAGTACTTTGAAAGGGGTCGAATATGACATACAGTGTGGGTGATGGTAGTTTGAAGTCAGAAGTTAACTGCCGGTTTATAGACTATTTTGCCACATACGTTGCCCAGGGTGCACCACATGGAGGTAAGTCTATCTCAAACCCCAGAATGAGTAATATTTTATATTATTATTCAGATGTCATCAATTCGGGTATTAATCTGTCATGGCCAATTTATCAGAGTCGTATGTGATATTATTACAATCAGAATAAAATCCATTTGATTAAATGTATTACTCCATAGATTGAACGAAGTTCCACGTGAACATTCTTTTCGTTTAAACTTTATTACAATAGGGAATTTGATAAACCGCTGAAAATAGAATTTCCTTTCTCACACTGTTTATATTCTTAAAAACTATTTAAAACTAGTTTGACCTACATTAATCGCATACGTATTCAAGGCATATAATACTGTAATAACATTGCATATGGTTTTTTATTACTATATTAAATGGAGCGAACTCACTAAAACTTTAAATGGTCTTAAATTTGATTCCCATTGTCATTATACCAAACGGGCCTTGAATTTAAAACTGTTGATATTCATTAACTGAGATGTTGGAGTAATCTTCGCAATCATATGCCTATGAAAATTCTAGTCTTCTAGGAAAAACTCTTAAAAAGATAGCTTTAGTTCTTTTACAACACAATAATGTGATCATTTCGTTTCGCATCATTTTAAAAATTTTCAATGCACCTACAATTTGAGTTTACTAATATCATAGTTGGAGGTTGAAATTTGAGTCAACTGCTAATGATTTCAATTACTGTAAAGTATAAAATTTGGAAATCGTAAATTATTCTCAATAGTATCCTCCGAACCCCGTATAAATATACCATATTCATAGTTATAAAACTAACAACTGTTATGATTTATTCAATCCATTTCAGCCAACAAATATTAACCTGTTTGACTATAATCATGAGTGTAGCAGGAAATTGGTGCCTTATTGAAAGCGATCCGGGGGTATTTAATGAATTAATGGCCGGTTTTGGTATGAAAAATATCAGGTCTAAGTTTTTTCAGGTGCCGATGGTTTAGAGTGTATTGAAGTCTATAACACTCAAAATACTGAATTTTTCAAGGATGCTCTGGGGCTTATTTTTCTATTTCAGTGGGGAAATGATCAGAAGAAGGAATCAAAACCTCTTGATTTTGTTGACGATAACTCAATATTTTTTGCAAAGCAGGTTATCAATAACGCCTGTGCTACTCAAGCCCTTATAAACGTTCTTTTCAACGTATCTTCCCCGAATCTAAAACTTGGGACCACG